CAGGAATTTCTCAATTCCATTGCAACTTCATCTACATTCAGACTTTTGTCGGTGCCTCCTATGCGTAAGTGACGCATTCGTATATTTCTTCGCAGTATCTTGCAAAGAGTTTGAGTATTTATATGTGTCCTGTAAAGATCCAAATGCTCCAAGAACTCTAGATTTTCGAGATATGAGAATCCTTTTTCTTTTATCAAATCACAATTACGTAGACCTAATTCTAAGAAAAAAATATATGTATTGATTATATAATTTGTTCTTGATTATAATAATCATTTGTATATATACCTTTCAAATTTTTGCATATTCTCGAAATTTTAAGCATGGTATTGTTGTCGACACATGAACAGCAATTTAATCGTAAATGTGTTAAGAGACTACCACAAATAACAAGAAAATTTTCAAGTTCCGGGACAGAAAATTTGTCACACCATGAAAGATCCAATCGTCGTAAATATTTACATCTAGGTGCTAAGTAATACAATGCCTTTGTATTAATAACATACCAATATGGTTTTAAGTTTAAACTTGTATAAAGCAGATGGTCTTGTGCTAAATTATTGAAATGTTTATTCACTCTGCTCATGCGGCATAATGACTTTAAGTCCAAGTTTCTTAATATTCTCATTATTATTTCATCCTGCAAGATAAAATACAAAATTTTAATAAACGAAATAACACTAAATATTAATATATGTGACAAAGACTTTTTAGTATACTTTACAGGAAGTGCAGAAAAATTATAACGTGATGGCTTCTTGAATTCATCTGAAGAGTCTTTAACATCTTTCATAAACTTTGAAAGTTCTTCTGATAAAAAGCGTTGCATACTATCAGATCCCTCTTTAAGAGGTGGTACATAATAATAAAGGGATCCTAGCCGAGATACTAGGTTGCTGTCGTGAAAATTCGCTACTACATCACTACAAATAACATTGGTACAAATTTACTTCCACTCATCAAAAAAAGACTAAATCTTACTTAATATTGACAATTTCAATACCTTTTGCACATAATACAATGTTCAATCAATGTCTTCTTAAGATGGATTATATCCAAATGTGCATTTTTATAATTTGGTGTTAAATTATGAATATCCTCACGGCAAGAAGTTTCAAACAAATCGCAATTAATGCTTATTAACAGATTAGTTAAACTCTGATTGTGAACTGGATCTTTAGGAAAAATCAATTCTGATGTTCCAATAAGCATCACAGCATCTATCTCTGTGTAGTAATCCAATAAACTGTGGTTAAATTCTAATCTGAGTAGTTTGGTTTTAAAGTCACACGATTGTAAAGGTGGAGAAAATATCCGTGATTTCAGAGGAACAATCTGAGGCGGTCCATTCCATAGTAGAAACCATCGACCTTTAAAATCTTCAGCCCAGATTCGAATTACGCTTCCAGGATTATATACTTCATATATAGAAACTCTTACTGGATATACAGCTTCATGATACTCAATATCTTTAATATAAAAAATACAATTATACTCTCTTTTCTTAATAAAAACATATTTTTTTTAACAATCTTTTATTTATTAATTTAAATATTACATACCAATATAATCTTGACTTACAACATCTGTATTGTTCTGTGGCATATAATCAATTGATCTCGAAGGTGCTTTGTCCCACCATGGTCCATAAGTCCTCTATTTGAAAAAGTTATTAGAAAAAAATGTCAAATGAAACTTTATTAAAGTAAATTGCTATTATTGGAATGATGTCACTCTAGATATGAATAATTAAATTGTAATTGATTGATCTCCTACATTTACTTCAAATGTAGGATCTTCCTGATTCCATGACTGTGTTCCAAAATTCTGCTAAAAATTTACAGTTTACAGTAAAGTGCATTATAGATTTTCAATACTTGCAATGAATTTTGAAACACAGCTCATATATCTATTATCAGTTTTATGGGAAGTTAATTGAAGAGTTATAAATAAAAGAATAAGGCTGAGATTTGCACCAATGTTACTTTAATTTTAAGCAAAGTTTAAAACTCTCTCCCTTTCTGTCTCTCTGTTGATTTTAAAAAAAGAGAAATTTTTAAGCTTTGCTTAAAGTTAGAAGAATGTTGCAAATCAGGTTTAATCATTTAGAAATGTAGAAAAGTTTGTGATCGCTTTTCAGCTTTTAAGACAATAACAAATAATATAAGAAAATATACATACCATGGCAAATGTTTGTGCAAAATCTCCATAATTTGGAAATTGACTAAATGGCCCAATTATGTTAGTAGCAGCATAAGATATGCTAGAATTACCGCCATACTGAGAACTAAAGCTACGAACATTCTTTACAAATTGTTGGACAAAGTCAACATGATTTTCTTTGCCTATAGATACTCTTTCGACATGTTGACTATCATTGTCACTATATAAAGGAAGTTGAGGAAGAGATAACATATTTTTGAACTGGAAGAAAATAAGAAATAGAAAATATATGTGCTTTTTTAAGTACACATTAAATCACTATATTTTAATTATATAATTATATTATACTCTATATATAAAAATTAAGATAAATCTGTCATTAGATTCCTAACTTTTTATATCAAATAAATATCAAATATGTACAATGGAAAGATTAATTAATTTCATCGAAACTCACAAAATTGTAACTAAATGACTATATACATCAATATACATGTACATGCACAATATCTATGAATGAATTAAAGTCAATTTCTTCTCACACAATTGGTCTGTTTTCTGTTCCTGCATTAAGCTGCTCTAGAACTCTCTTTTTCACTTTCAACAGATATCAAACATATATCTATCTCTCTTTAAGTTTTAAAAGTGTACACTAGAGTTCAGCTACAGAAAACAGACCTAATCAGTGCAGTATCTGATAGTATATTCTATTCACTTCTATTAAAAGCATAAGTCAAAAGTTAACTAAGATGATAGCAGAGAAGATGAAAATACAACTGAATGTAACATAGACCACAAAATAAAAAAAAAACAATTTATTGAATTAACCAAAGCCTATGAGATAACGACATAATTTAGATGATTGCACAGTAGATAAAGAATAATAAAACAGTTCCTTAAATACAAGGAAAATGATTGCTTCTTCTCTTATTCATATACTACTTATAAAAATAATAGGTCTGTTACATGAAATCTCCAAATATTTTTACACTTAAAATGAAATACATATATATTTGGCCTTGAAAAGAGAGAAAGCGAAAATGTCGTGAGTGCAAAAGGTGCAAGCAACGCGAACAGACGTAATATTCGTTTATAATTTTAATGACATAGTGCAAGTACATACAAAATATATGAAAAGATTCCATGAATTTATTCTTTTTTTTTTGTTGTGTATCGCCAGATGACGATAAAAGAGTGTCTTCAACCTGTTTCAACGAAGTAAATGGCTAGTCTCACCTCTACCACTAACACGCAAGAACAAGAACGTTCCGATACAATTTGATACTTTGGTTGTTATACCTGAATTACGCAAAAAATCACCTAATGTCTACGTTACGAATGTTACGATCGTTCTCTTTTATCACGTGAGTAGGAGAGAGTTTCATTAGAGATGCCTTCAAACAGATCCAACACATGACACAGTATGAGTGCATCGTCACATCCTTGTAATTTGTCAATGTTAAACAAGGATGAGGATCACTGACTGCGTTCAGCAGATTCAACAGTTGAGTAAGAGACTTCACATAATAAAAGGAAATAAGAAAATAAGAATTTCAACCTAGAAACTTTGTATTCCACAATACATGATTTCTGACATGAGATTGAAATTCTGTTCTCTGTTCTCTGTTCCTTTTATTGTGCGGAGCACAAGCGCTTGCTGCTATTGATGTATTCTTCCAGATCTAAAACGCTGATTGGATGATCTAAAAGAATACACCAATAACAGCGAGCGCTCATTCACTGTCGAATCCATTGAACACAACCACTGTATTGTATTGAGGATACGGTCAACGCGATGCTACAAATACTTTGAAGCGTTTTTTAATCAATTTGTAAAATTCTTTCTTCTAATTGGTCCATCAAATGCTTCAAAGCATTTGTAGTGAGACTTTGACACAGCCCAAGTTTCACACACAAAATTTATGCTGTCAAATAGAGTCCTATATAAAGAAACCCGCATCGAACATCTCATCATCAGGGAATCGATTCTGTATCTTGAAATGAGATGAAAATTATAAATTGAGCGAATTTATTAGAATACTGATTATTTCATTAATCAACACTTAGTAAATAAGATTGCTTACTTTTATAATTTTCATCTTGTTTGAAAATACAGAATTGATCCTCCCAGATTGGACTCCCAGATTGGATCCATAGGCTCGGTTTCACTAACTCCGATTTAAGCTAATCAGTCAATTAAATTTCAGTATTGTCAACTACAAGTCTTGAAAACATTCTTTTCTAGCGAGGCGTTGAGTACTCATGTGTGTATAACTTTTTCGCGATTGAAGAAATTTGCGACTAATAAGGATTCGTGCTATTAATTATCGTTCTTCACAGCTACCAGATAATTAGATTATGTTTTCAGTCTTGTAATTGATCATATTGAAATTTAATCGACCGATTAGTTTAATCGGAATTGGTGAAATCGGGCTCTGTACAATCACTTCCTGCGCCGCCATATTTAGACCGCGCCAGTATCGTAAACAATAAACATACATTCAACATTCTGTACTTTATTGTGGCACTATTGACCTCTCTCATTTATTGCAGGCAAAAGCTAAAATTGAAGAAGAAGAATATACTCCATTGATTCCATTAGCGAAATGAGCTCTGCATTCCATTAACGGTTGAGGATAGGTGGGTCAGCTGTATTACGCTTGTATAAACAACTATGGTCACAATATGGCTGCTTCACTTAGGACGGGATATCAATCAGAATATATATCAGAATCAGACTGCCAATCAGAAACTCGGACATCAATCTCTTTATGTATAGAACTCTACTGTCAAGTAATCAGCAGCGCGTGCGCGTGCAGAAGTCAGCAAGAGCACGCATGCGTTGACCAATTCCATGATCTGGGGTTACTGCATGCGGCCGTGGGTCCGGTGTACCCCTGACCCGAAGGTCTGCTGGTAAACACAAACTTTTAAGACATAAGACGATCCCCAGTGACGATATAACAATCTTATCGTTACATTGTAATATTAAGTGTACATAATTAGGCTCACAATGGTAAGAATCCGTTCTCTCAATGTCTCGTCCGGTCGATGATTCAAGTCAGCTAACCTGCAAGTCTATTCACAAGCTTTTCCCGTTGTAGGACGTATTTTTAATGATCAGGCGAAAAAAATTGACGATATTTACCGACGCAAAAGATGATACTACGGTCCTCGAGCTCAAGAAGATGATTGAAGGTAAGACGTTTGTGTTACAGTGGCAGTATCTTTTTTTTTTTGACATATCGCTTGACCATTTACAATTCGATGATTGTTACTTCAATAGAACAATCTGTGGTTCGCTAAATGAATGTAGGATTAGGCCTAATCAGGAGTATAGACAGAATAAATTGCATTAATAGCGAATGGAATTATATATATATATATATTGTGCGCGCGCGCGCGCGTGTGTGCGCGTATGTGTATGGGTGCATATAGCGCGCACACGCATACACACACATACACACACACGCGCACACACACATACAATTACTGATCAGCTATATGTCAAGTTTATGAAAAATATTTTAATTAGTATATATTTGACAAAAATATCCTAAAACTCCTATTTCGATGAAATTATGCTTATTATTAATTTATGAACATTAATAGTTGCAAGTTTTATAAAAAATAAAATCATTGCTTTTATAGTTATTGGAGTTAATGCTCACTTTCTTTTTTTACAGGTATAATGAAAGTACCACCGGCAAATCAACAACTGTTTAACAAGGATAATCTTTTAATGTCAGACAATAAGACTTTACAAGATTACGGGCTGACATCGTCAACTGCAAAAGCACAATGTCCTGCATTAGTCGGTTTAGCACTGCGTCAGCCAGATGGCCAGTTTGAACCTCTTGAAATGACACCATTCTCATTACCACCAGATCTCCCTGACGTTATGAAGTCTCAGGAAAATAATGGCCAAGAGCAATCTCCTTGAAATGATGCAGTTGCATCACTCGACGATGAAGTTTTGTGTCCTATGCAATTTAGTAATCGTCAGGACAGCTCTGAATGATAAGAAGGATAAAAAGGAAACTTCATGTACGACGTATGTGAATACTAGAGTGTGAATATGGTAACTAAACACCGTACGAATATTAGACATAATGCAATTTTACACAAGTATTCAGAGCTGCAAAATTTTCAATATTCAATTTAATAAAAATGCTATATAGTCACGCGATCGTCAGTCTTATAAGGACATGTGATGAGTACTAATTTGTACTTGATTATTAGACTGAAAGTGATAATAAAAGTAAAACAAAATTCTGCTCACTATTGTGCATCAAACCAAATTTATATAGCTATAAAATTATTAAAATAAGTGTTTTATTATGGTCAAAGTGCGAAATATGAATACCTCAGCTTACATTTAAGTTACAGGTATAGCTTAATTATTTTAAAGTACTTTTTAAAATATCTTCAAATTAAATATCTTATTTCCTTCTATTTCTCTCTCTGCTCACTTTCACTTATTCTGTATACGTATTCCTTGCACCACAAGGAAAATCAAATGTAATGTTTTGCTTTGCAAAAGAAGCTTTACATTTTTTTATTAACATGTATGACTCTAGTAACATTTAAATTACAAATTTGTAGTTACGGCGTATTGAATATAAGACAGACTGGATCTGATCTGATACAATACACAATCATAAATGTAAAATATAATGCTCTAATTAATGATCTTTAGTTCTATAATATTGTATCCTATTAATTATTGTCTAACTTATACAGTTTTATAACTAATGGCAACACCATTTTAACTATATGCTACGATAAGACTTGTAACAATACACAAGTAATGTCATGCTACGTGACAAAAATATATTGTACATGATTACATATCTTATTTAATATTTTTAAAAATCCTCTAGCATACAAAGTGAATCAGAGTTGTTGAACCAACTTTTTATCTTATGAGAAAATTATCGATTTCATACCTAATTGAATTATAACATGTACAGTCAATTATTTTTTCATAGAATAAAAAGCTGATTGATCAACGACTGATTCACCCTGTATTTATCTATTATTCATGTACACAAAAAATGTTTTTCTAATAGAGTTGCATGCTAAACCGGGTAAATAAAATTTAATAATAAAATAAGACCATTGTTAACTACTTAAGTTCTTATATTTGCTAAGCATTTCCATTACAAAATCCCTATAAATATCTTTTTTACTCGGCACGTAATGTCCACCTTCGTGCCGTAGCTCTTTTTTATTTGAAAATAGACAACTAATTTGTTCTGCCATTACTACAACAAAGAAGGATTACATTAGCATTAATGAAGCATTGGATATGATTTACTTTCAATATTACTGAGTATAATTAATGATATTAAATTCATCATAATATCAAATTATTCATCATATACCTGTTGGAATGATTTGATCATTCTCTCCATAAATATGAAAGGAAGGCATATCGATTTCTTCATCATAATACTTTGCATGAGGTACACACAGTGACTTAAATCCAGATATCATAATAACAAAATCAAACTCGATTTGTAATACTACAAGAAAATAGTAATTATATATTTATTTTATGTAAGCATATACATGTGTATATCATATATTATTTTTAAACTCACTTTTCTTCTTCTTCATAGCACACAGTATACTGACAAAAGCTGCTCCCTGTGAGAAACCCAATATTCCATCGAAAGGACCTTGTTCTGAGAACACTTTCTCGATCACAGCTACACTGTCATTGAATCCTACACACAAGTTACTAGGCACTGTAGCTTTAAACACATGATCTTCTGTATTAAACCACCATCCATATCCTATACATAACAATTTCGTTAGTACTCATTAAATTATGATATTTCTTGAAGATAAGAAATTTCATATTTTTTTTTTATTGATATTTTTCTCACACCATTTTCATTGGTATCTTCTTGACTAGTTTTATTTTGGGATGGAACTTTATGTGGTGCTTTTATAAACGTGAAATCTATTTCTTTTTTAAATCTTTTTCTCAATGATCCTAATTTAGCACTAAAGATCATGTCTGATTGCATATATCCGTGAAGCGCTAATATCTAAAATAAGAGGAATCATATATATATATACATTAATTTATTGCCATTTTTACATCAATGCGTCAATGATTATTTACTCGCAATTTTGATTTGGTAGTCAACATCATTCAGCGAATATATGTACAATCACATGATCAAAAAGGTTAGTAGACACCAATAAACACACTGCGATATATAATATATTAGAACCTCCATATCTGAACACATTTATTCTTAGGTCTGTTCCCTTTGCTTGCACTTTTTATATTTAGAATCTTCGAATTTTCTCTCTTCAATGCTTGAATATATATTTATCTCATTTTAAATGCAATAATTTTTTTAAGGATTTTAAGCAATACAAACAACCTCTTTCTAAACAAGCTTAGTCTCTATAAATTAAATATTTTTGTGGCTATTTCTGAGAATTTTATAATAGAAAAATTTGATTATTAGACAGTCATAATTATGATAAAAATGCATGTTTATTATCACAAATACAGTATAACTTACAAATATATGTTTCATAGGAAAAGAACTTCTATATATAATATTAATTTAAATTTATTAAAACTATTAATTTCTTTTTTTCATTTAGACGGGGCTAAGAAAATAATTAAACTAAACAAAAAATATGCAATATTTCATGTACAAGTTCGAACTTTTTCAATTTAAATAAAAAACAATTTATGATACATTTCCATGTATTTCTGTCGCATTAAGGATCGCAGGAACAAAAAAAATCAGCACATATTTTGTTAAAAGCATTTCTCTTTTACATTTAAATAAATGAAAAGTAAATTACAATTTCAGCAATTTAATTATATATTCTAACTATTAAAAATTTGCAGTATTTAAAGATTACTAAGATCCACAGCTTCAATTTGCGAATTAAGATGTGTAATATTTTCATTATTTTCAGAGTTTCTTGGCTTTGTTTCTCTGGGAACATCCAACTTCGACCAGGAACCAGGTTCGGCCTTTTTTAACTTAATTTCTACTTTAGTTGGCAGCATGTGTACACTACTTTGCTCGACATTAATAATCTAAAAGTAAAATAAATGTACATCTTAAATACTGTTCCTTAATTACACATTCAAAATTAAAATATTAAAATTAATACGTACTCCTTTTAATTCTATATCAAGATAATATCTCGAATCTTCTACAAAGAATAAATCTACAGTCAGATGGATAGGATTTAATTTTATAATAGACTGACTGGGCAGATATTTTTTTGCAAATATAGAAACAACTACATATGATCCAGTTTGATGCCAATCCATCCTGCATTGAGCTTTCTTTCCTGTACTCTGAAATAAATTATGTGTCATTGTCAAAGATACATATTAAATGATTATATTAAATGAATTTAATATTAAATAATTGATATCATGAACTTATCTAAATGATATAAAAGGTACCTTGGAAAACCATATATGTTTGCCTTGCGTACAACCTGGCTGATCCAGAAATAAGGAAAATTCTGTAGTTTTCTTTTTACAACAAGACCAATATTTCAGTCCTTCATGAAAAATAGGTACACCAGAATGATAATTGCAAATTTCCTCGTCAGAGGCAATCCCTGTATAAGTTCCCTTGCAGGAATTGTTTTTACAAGTTTGTCCTATCTGTATTACATTGTCAGTTGGTTTGTCATTTTCTGAAGTTGTCAATCCTTTAATTTGTTCTAATAGAATGGGAGATATTGTTGGCGACAGTATGAGTTGAAACGCATCAAACGGAGGTCTTTCCAGGAATGCTCCATTGCTTAGAGGTCCTGTGGCAACCTGTATTATTTCGTCAACTTTACATTTTTCGACAGGCGGTTTCTCTGGCTCCGATGGTTTCACATTGGAATGCTTTGACTTCGTACAGCCTTTGATATTCAAGAATTCGGTGAAATCTGTACATTTCTTGTTACAACAAGACCATCCTTTATATGCATCGTGAAACACTGGATGTCCTGAATGATGAAGGCAACTGTCTGCGAAAGAATCATAAGAGCATCTTTATTTCGTAAATGTTATTAATTTAGCACTAAAAATTTAATAAAATATGCATATACCGTCTTTATTGTCGTTCGGATCGTATTTCTTTCCACAGCCGCGATGATAACAATGCAACAGATTTGTTTCCTGTGACATTTCGAGAGGATTTCTTTGCACTTATCTGTTCCACTAAGTTTTGGAAGAGCAGCTCAATAAATCGCTTATACGTTTCTCTCTTTCACGATATTTTTCTCGATTTTGTCAGGCTTTGTTTTTGATAGTTTCTAGAACATTCCAAGTCAAATTAAAAACGTTCCGAATCTCAATCAACTTGCTACCCGATTTCTTTAGAGACACCCTATATACATATAAAGAGGCATATATCGTTTCCACTGGGAAAATTAGTGCAATATGAAGTGCAATTGAGTGGTAAATAAATCGATTTACATATTTTCAATGTTAATAAAATAATTTAATTCTTTTAATATTATGAGGTACATTATTATGATAACAAAAAATATGTAATTTAAGAGTTAAATTATTTATTAATCTCAAAAATATGTAAATTGATTTGCACTCAATGGTCACTTCAGCAAACTTAACTGTTGCAAAGTAAATTGATTATTCTTTTAGGCCGCGTTCACATCTTGACGGAAAAATGGGAAGTGGAAAAGCAGAAGCCAATCAGAATTTGCGAAAAGACAGAATAGACAAGCAAAATATACCGCCTACTACTACTACGAATTTCGATTGGCTTCAGCTTTTCCGCTTTCCGCTTTTCTGTCAAGATATGAACTCGCCCTTAGATTATCCAATAGCAGCGAGCGCTCATGAATCCGAAAGAAACTCTAACATGGAAGATTCTAGTTCGCGGTTTTTCGGGCTAGATTGCGCTGAAATCGTTGGTTTTTCATATGTTTGATTTAAAAAGAAACTGCTGAAATCCGTTTAAACCCGTTATCGTAACTTTCGAAACGTCAATAATTGTCAGGTGTCGTGTTTTGGTGTTTCTCGACGTATATCCGACTTTAGATTGTAAACACTCACTAAAGGGCTGTTTCGAATATCAAAATGAAAGGAACAAAACTGAGAACTAGAGTTACGTTGCCCAGGTAAGCAAGAAACGGATTCACCTAAAATCGCACATTTCGTTTTTGTTAAGGGATATATCTAGTATTATAATAATTGTCAGTATATTCTATATTATTATTATTCTTCATTATGAGATAATGATTATGACAAAATTTAATTTTTTAGCAACTCAAAAAACATAGGGATACAGACTGAAAGTTTTGATAGTCTTATAGAGATTGCCAAGTTGGAAGAACAAGTAAAAGTAATGCAACTTGAGATTAATATTTTAAGAAAACATATGGGAACCTTGAAAAAGCCTGATGTTGCAAACCATAAGACTGTTCCTCTTACTTCATCGGCAATGGTCAAACTTAACATAGAAAAATCTAGTTGTGGCTGTAAAGGAAATTGTTCATCACGGATTTGTGGTTGCGTAAGGAAGAACATAAAGTGTAACCTGTCATGTAAATGTGGTGATAAAGCATGTCAAAATCAGGTAATCATATTAACAAGAAGAATCTTTAACTTTCTGTCTAATTGGATCTTAAATGCTCTTGTATAATTCTATGTAAATTTATTATATATTTATATATTGTCATTTAAACTATATACAGAATTAATTTTTCTGTCTTGAAATCCATACCAATTGAATTACAGTAGTAATATCATAAATTGCAAAGCAATTTAATTTTATGTTTATAGCATCTTTTAAAAATCTTAATAATACTGGAGACAGTACATTAAAATCTGTAAATAATTTTATTGCAAAAAATATTATTACCTTGGCTGGGAATCAAATCAGAATTCTTTTTCATATGAATATCCTTAATTGTTATATCAATCAAGGCCCTAATAATATTTTTTGCAATAATCAGTATATACAGAAAGTTCTAATTTCAGGCGGCATATATAAACAAGATTAAACAAACAGTTTCTATAAGAACCATACATTATCTACATTAATAACTTAAGTTAAAAAAATTAAACTTTAAAGAAACTAACTTTTTAAGAGTTAAATAAGAAGTATGTAAGCCTACAGCTGAATGTAATTATGCAAAAATTATTCTTTATTAAATTATAGATGTAGATATATAAATAAAATTATGAAATATATTTTATGATGTAATAAAGAATTTTTACATAATACATCCAGTGGTAGGCTTTACGTACTTCTTGAGCATGAGTATTATGTAAAAATTCTGATCTGACTCTAATTGTTTACATTTAAAGTCTTTGATATATTGTAACTTTTTTAAAATTTAACTTGACTTTCTATATAGAAATTTATTTTACAGAACTTCGATCAAAATCAAGAAGGTAAAGAAAATATTAACGAAATTGATGTGACTAAAAATAAAAACAGGAAGAAAAACGAAACTACAAAAAAACTCAATAGACATCTGTTTAGTCCAGATATGGGAGAACTCTCCAACGTTTTTGAAGAAATTCAATTTAGTGATATTGATTTTAGTTCTAATAAGAAGAATACGTTTGCCATAAACACACAAACAGATTTACATAGTATAGACAAAGTAAAACTCAAGAAAAAAAAGAAGAAAGAAGAAAACAATAAAGAGCAGCAAGAATCAATGGATGTGCAGATAACATTTGATCCAATGAAACCGAGACATCAATTATCACGAACACCACCAAAAAAGCTTGAGAAATCATTGGAAGTTGACGTTACAATTCAACCTCAATTACATTTTGAACCAACTCGAGAAATAATATCTTCCCATACATTGTACCAAGGTACAATGATATTTTTAATTAAATTAATAAAATTACTGTTTATGAACAATATTTTATATATAAATTTAGAATTGTTTAATTTGCCATTCTTTTATTGAATCTCTCCAATCTTGATAATTATTGTATATTATATTTATTAGTTTTTAATGATTAGAATTAATAATTAATTCTAATCATTAATTGTAATCATCAATTAATTGTATATATGATTAAGATTCTATTAAGATAAAATCTACTTGAAATTAAAAAAAAATTAAGGAATAAACTCTATAATCATCTATATATATGTAATTAATCATATCTATAAGTATGAAAGAAATATAGCTTCTTACATTTCTTTCATACTTAGTTGCTTATAAAAGTATCAACAATATTTAATATAGAATAATTATTGTATCAAATTATTTAAGAATTAGTTAAGAGAAGTTATAGAAATGATAAAAACAATGAATATATTTTTAAATATAATTCAAAAATTATTCTATAAACTATACATTATGCATAATGAATTTCAGATTCTAAAGAAGAAAATATTAATTGGAAAGAACACAATGCACAATTAATTCCTTGCAAAAAATGCAAAAGAACTTTCATGCCCAATCGGATCCAGAAACATGAAACTTGCTGCAAAGGCTAAAGGATTTAAATGTTGAAAGGATAAATATTTGAAAAATTAACATTGTCTACTACTTTTTTAATTTTACATGTTCCTTTATGATTTCTATCTTTTAATTTTATCTTGAAGACAAGACTATATAATAACATTAGTATTAGTATATAATTAATTATTTTAAATATAATGTTATTTTAAAATGTATCTAAGAGATATAAACTGTTGCAAACTAATCATTTTTTGTAATTATATTCTTATTCTTTACATATAAATCAAATAGATTTAGTCTCGTGCAGAATCAATCATGTTTTTAATTATAAGAAATGTATGAAAAAAATGTACGTGAATAGTTCGGCAATATTAAAATAATCTTTTATAGAAATGTGTATATTTTTTCGAATATATACTATTTTATGTCATAGATATGTATTATATGTCATAGATAAATATATGAATATGGCCGGAGACATGTCTTCTGATGTACATACAGACAAAAACACTAATAATGAACATAACAATAATCTCGAATTTAAATAAATTGATAATTAAATGGGAGTGGTAAACAATGTGCAATTTTTCTATATAATAAAATTCGTAATAAATTCGCATGTATTAACTAACTGGATGAAAACAGTATAAAAACAGTAGCTTTCAAGCTGCTTCAATTATTACATAAGTTTACTTATAATTTACAAGACTTTGTCTTTATAATACTATAATTTTTATTAATATTAAATTTTAAAAAATATCAAAAATGTCGAAACTTATTTAAATTTAAGCGCATCTTAAATTCATGACGCGCTCAAAGTGGCATACATTGTATATTTTGGAGCAATTTTATTTAATCATTTCCTCTCTTTAGAATATCTCGTTGATGACTTTATAAATGCGCCATCTTTGATCCCATTTAATTCAAACTAAACGAACTGAACTACTGAACTTTTTGCGGTAGCTAAAATAATTGAGTGTAGTACCCTAATTCGATTGGATCCTTTCCTATATAAAACTTTGAGACGCATGATATTGGGCTTAACACTTGGAGACTGAAGTCCAAAGAATCAAAGAAGGAAAAAAAGAATCTTTGCAATATTGTGAGTTGTAGATATCCATCTGGGGAGAATAAAGAACAAGAAAATCATTGCGGTGATAAAATGGATCATTTAAATGAAATTTTGCGACCATACATTAAAGCCAGTAAAACTAGATTATCGTATGTGGATGAATTATTTCCGGATCTCAAAGATAATCCATATATTATCCTTCATAAAAATGTGAGTATCATGTGAAACAATTTCCTCTCATATCTCGCTTAATGACATAATGGCTTGCTTCAGGTTTCTGGCATACACATACAGCATCTCTCGGATCTCGAAAAGAATGAAAGAAGCTTCAACGAGTACTCGATAAGTAATGAAATGTTTCTCTAATTATAAGAGTTATTTGCATTCTATCAGAAACATATAAAATCCGAAATGTTCTTTAGGACATGATGTCAGTGGTTCGCCTCTAAAGTATTCATTTGGTAATTGTGAATTCGATGACACTGTTGTCATAACAAAACAGAATTGGTGGAAAGAAGAGGAGTCATATTTGCCACTGAACAGAATGGATGCAAGGTACATACAGATAAGTTAATAAGCTAAGAAATA